GTAAGTTGGTTTAGCCCAACTGCGGTGAAGAAGCATCAAGAATGCAACATCAGCCTCAGCATGGGGCACATACCAGCGATCATAAGCATACGAGAGTTCTGGGAGATTTGCACCTATATCGCTCTGTCAATGAAAAGGACATCTACAAGTCCGATCACATAGTGTGAACAACTTCTTCATTCAGTTTTACTACATCATCAGATAACCATTTTGGGGCCCACTGAGACAGTCAAGGTATTGACACACAGTGTGCGTCGAGGTAGGCAGCTGGCAGACATGCGAAAACCGTGAGCTGATCAACAACGGTTTTTGGGTAAACGGACCGCTGTGGAGCCAGAAGGTGCTATCCAAATACTAGTTGATGCACCTCAGGATTTGCTTCCAGTAGTTCCAAAAGATACGAAGGCCGATGCACAGGTAACTGCAGTGAAAGAAGACAGTGCGCAGTGACCACGTTCCTGATCCTTACCGCTTACTACCGTGTAGAGCAGTGAATGTAAATCGGTTGGAGCTAAAATCGGAATATACTTTATTTTGTATACGGACACAGAGACCCCTTGGTTCAGGAATCATTCGAGTTCGACCAATTTCTTTACCGAAGACAAAAATGGATTCAAATAACTTATCTGTTGTAATTCCAAATGGATCTTCGCTACCACTGGATAAGGCCAATAATCAAGTGAACTTGACAAAATAGTTACCATTCGGAACCCTAATGTTGCGTTCCATGCATTAAGTACCATACAAACTCGTCAAACGAATTACCTTATGATGTAACTGCGATTGCATGTAATTGCTGGACGGTGTGGCGAAACTCCATGTCACGTCTCATCGAGAAATATGATATTCATTTATTTTATTGAGCGCGTTGCAGTGTTGCACTTCCTAATGTTAATTGATAATCATAAATCAATCTACCTTTATAAATGATTAACGGTTACATAAACCACTCCAGATTAAACGATGAGTGTAGTAAGACTTTCATTGATTTGACCCACGGACATAGTACGGCTGTCTAAGTAAATGAACTGATCGATGGTTCTGTGTGGTTTCCAGTTAATGGTAGGGATAAGTGGCATACTCACGCAGCGTGGCGATAGGACCTTGCATTCTAAAGGTACGAAATGCATGCCGAAGCATGTGATCAGCAAGTCAAGTACTTGGACTGAGTCCAAGATAGCTATATGGTTTTCGTGCTCAGAATAATGCCAGTTAGTCGTTTGGTAGAACTTCCACTGCAGGAGAAGTATAAAGGTCAAGGTAATCAATAGCCTTCCAAACAAAATTGTCGAGAAGGCAGGTGAACAATAAAGCACTTCAATTGTTATGGTAAATGCAAACTTTCGCCTTAACTTCTCCGTGACCTAGTCTATAGGCAGGAATCCAAAAATAGCCAAACCATGCAAAGTTAGACAGTGCTAGGATCAGGCATGCATCAGCGAACAGAAGTAGACCTTCAAGCAGAGGTGGACGACCACGGTATGCTGGTCGCAAACATGATGATGCTTCAGCACTTGTTGCAGGTGAAAAAACCGTCCCAACGAGACTGGACCTTAACGTGGTGGGACGGTGTACGTACCTCCTCGACCCATTGAGATATACTGGGTGGTGCCTCCGGGCCGCTTAAGACCTACTCCTACCAAGTTGGTCAATGGTGAGAGGTCAGACAAACTCAGTCACCTGGTCCTTCAGGTTGGGGGTTTGAAAAGGGATGGGTCAACAGGCTGCACTCGCCCGCACCTTGGACACACTGGGTAGTGATGTGTGTTGTGTGTCCGAAACTAGGATCAATGACCCTAATGGGGTTGTTGAATTAACTACACCAGGTGTATCCTCTCGTTATTGGTTGCATGCATCCGGAGATGTTGATGCAGCACTCACGGGTCAAGCTGCTGTACGTACCACTCTAAGCTCCAAGGCTGAGCCACCATGTCGAAATCTCACGTTCAGTTTATGGTAGAAAGCGTCCTTCGCAGCATCAGAGCTGCTATTAGTGGGCATAAGCGGGAACCATACACAAACAGTGTCTAATGCTAGTTTGTGAACCAACCTTACTTGATGTAGTCAAACGGACTGCACACAAACGGCTGATCGCGGGAACCCAACCAACCAATGATGCCTCAGCTTTAGAGTTGAGGACAATGCCCACTCCAGCTGGACCAGTAATTGCTGCATTAGCGTTTTCGGATGCGCGAAACCAATAGCGAGAGGAAAAACCGGGCGTAGTTAATTGAACAACCCCGTAAGGATCAAAGATCCCAGTTTCGGACACACAACACACGCCAATACGCAGCGTGCCTAACGTGCATGCGAGTGCAGCCTGTCTTAGAATGCGAACGTTGAACACCGACAGGGAAATGAGACAGTGTGGCCTTATAAGGAGTTGTTGGTGATTAGTGTTCAGTGGGTGGTGTGGGAAGGCAGCTGTGGTTGATTCGACTCCAGTGGCATTGCAGTTGCTGTCAATTAAACTGGGGATAACGGAAGGCTAGTAATGGGAACTGGGAGCGGAGTAAGAGAAACCGGTGGAAGGAAAAGAAAGGAGGCTCCAGTAGTAGCATATTTTCGCTTATCTGCCCTGCTGTATGCAGCAGATAAGGTGACCCTTGATAAGCTGCGCGAAGGCCGATGCAGGATATGGTTGAAGTTCGAAGAAGTAGTCATTATTGTATGTGGGTTGAGATACTGCAATGGCGCCCATAGCTATATAGGAGAGCGATTAGGGTCCTCAACCAAAGCCTTTGGCTCCTAAGTCTGTCCGCAAGGCAGCGGATGTCGCAACGATTAGGTTTTACGGAAACTGATGCTATGCAATTTCAACCCCCAACCTGGAGGACTAGGAGACTGGGTTCGTTTGAGCTCTAAGCATTGAGCAACTTGGTAGGAGTAGCTCTTAAGAGGCAAAAAGGTCCACTAAGTATACCTCAAAGGTTCGATGAGATCCGCAAACCGTCACACTACGTTAAGGTTCAACCTCGTGTGAAAAACATGGAAAAAACTTTATTTCGTCCGTTCCACATTTTGTCATTATTGTATTAACTATGCACATTTATTCCGTGACTTCCGATGGATCTATATCTATTGCATAGACAGTTGATATTATATCATAGACGTAAGGCCGGATGGCTAGTAGTACGATGCCAGTCCTGGAACAGGACTGTAACTAAGAGGTTAACTCACTTTCTCATGTGATCCAGGCGAATCTGCAGTCGTCGATGAGCGGGATTACTTCTCCAAACCATACGCATTGGCTCCTCCCGTTTCTTTTTGATTATATCACGCATAAGTCCTTGTAGACGATCATATTCTTCGTCCCACGTAGTAAAAACTTCGAAACAAGAGACCATAACGTGCTCGAATTCTTCGAATGGCATGTGCATCAGACGCCGTGTACCAAGGACCTGGCAAGTATATCGGGAAGATGATCCAAAAAAACACGTGAAAATCAAAGTAAAATATGAGCATTACTCCGATTGCTTGAGTAAAACGCAGCGGAACGTCTCCGTAAAAAAAGAAAATGAGAAAGGCCAGTCGTCAATTCAAGAGGAACTGGTAAAATATTACGCTCGTCAGGCAGAGGCGAACAATAAAACAGGCTAGAGTGTCAGTGAGTTCGCTGCTGCGTCATGTCCATTCGGTGCATTTGTCACTGATGTGCCATACATACATACTGATGGGCCACGTACAGGAAGATCATAAACACCGGAGTGCCCATCTTTCGATGAGTTTGCACCCTTTTGTTACAGCGTTGATTGGGTACCTCGAGATTTCACTCAAATGTTTTCCGTATGTGATTATAAACCCTCTATATTAAAGCGCGCACGTTAATGCATGTCAATCTTAGCGAGGCGATAACTACAAAGATAATGGGAGAAACTAAGGTTTACCTTTTGAAAGAACACAGAGTTGTCGACATGGCAAAAGACACTCTGTTATTGCCTGTTAATCGAAACTAGGAGACAAATGTGTAGTGAAGCAACATGAGAATAAATAATTGGGGTGTGTTAAAAGGTGGGGAACAGTGAAGTTGAAACGAGGTGATACGGATGAAAGAGTGTAAGAGGGGAATAAAAGCACAAAAAGGCTTGGGCGGTAGCACCATTACCCTTGTCCACCACGCTCGATGCAGCCGGCAGTCATTAATAATTCACTATACACATTAGCTAAAGGTAGAAAACCCTTTAGTTATTGTGCCGCAATATAAAAAAAACAAAAATACGCAACAGAGGCACCTCAGCCAAGCCACCAGTAACGGATGGGCATCGTTCCGGAGAGCTACCAGCCGGCTATAGTGCCGCAAAGAAAGAATTATATTGTCCCTAGGAAAGGAGAATGTGGTGGGAGGAGGAGAGGCGAAGAAACTCGCAACACAAACGCCACTGAGGTCGGCTCCTAGCCATGACAGCAAGTGCATACAGCAAAAGGTGCTCATCGGTTTTCGGACCCAAACCAGGGAGCCGAGACGCTCCAACCGAGGCCTTCATTGCTCTTGACCAAGTCATCGGTTGGCATCCCTCTTCTTCCTCCATCCACATCCCCGGCAAGCAAACAAGGCACGTCTCGGTAGTCGGTGTGTTGGCATGCGCAACATATGGCCCAGCCTGGTACGTGATTTAACGGTGATGAGCGGTTCACTTCCTCTTTCTGTGCGATAAACAAGACATCGAACACGCTCATTGCTCACGGTGTTCCCCCCAGATATGAGCCAAACTGCGAAGGCACCGGTGGCCGAACGTAACTAGCCTCCTTATGTCTGCCGATCTAATGGAATAGTTTTTAAAACCGCACAGTAGAGTCGAACGTACGGAGGCATTGTAAACTCTACCCTTCGGAGAGAGAGAGATGTCGTAGCAGAGCCATAGGTGGATAAGATTAGCAAAAGCGCTCCGAGCTTTTGCTATACGGTTCGTGACCTCCTCTTCGACTCCACAGGAGCTGATACAACTGCCTAGGTAGTTGAATGGTTGAAAGACTTCTAGCTGGTTCCCACCAAGGGTCAGTGCAGGGGGCGGTCCCTGCCAATCTTGGAGGGAAGCTCTGCACTTCGAGGGTGTAAAGAAAAGCCCGAAACGGCTAACAGTCAGCGCTCTTTGGTACGTTGGCGAGCTATCACAGATGAGGGCAATGTCGTTAGCATATTCCAAGTCAAGAAGTCGTTCACCTGGGAGCAGCTCCACACCTAAGTTGTGCCCAGTAAACGCAATCTTCATGACTTCGTCAATAGCAAAATTGAAGGGGAATGGTGACAACGGACATTCTTATCTCACACCGCTGGAGATATTGAAGGGGGTGACAGCCAGCTGTAAGCCCGCACTCTGCCCGAGCTACGCGCGTATAGACGTACTAATCAAACGAACCGAAGCCCCCTATGGTATCGAGGGACACGACGACAGTGGTACGCCAATATATGTGACGATGGTTCAACAATTGACGCAAATAAAATGTGTGATGGATGCAGCCCCGACCTCGACGAAACCCGGCTTACTCCTCATGAATCTGAATTACACTAGTGCCAGTCAATCTGAGAAGGATGAAAGAAGCAAGCAATTTGGAGACGATGGAGATCAGACTAACTCCTCCATGGTTGTCGCATTCCGGACGTGAGCATTCCTTGAGAATCTGGACAATAAGGAAGCGTTTCCAATCGGTTGGGACAGTTTCTTGTTCCCACAGTCTTACTAGTAACTCTTGTAAGTCATAAACAAGAGCAGATCCTCCGAATTTGAAGTGAGGAAGATGGAAGTCATCTGCCGTCGCAACGAGACTGGACCTTAATGTGGTGCGACAGTTTGCGTACCTCATTGACCCATTGAGCTATACTGGGTGATGCCTCCGGGCACCTTGAGAGCTACTCCTACCAGGTTGGTCAGTAGTGAGAGGTCAGACAAACTCAGTCTCCTGGTCCTACAGGTTGGGGGTTGAAATTGCATAGTAGCAATTTCTGTAAAACAAAATCATTGCCACCTCCCCGCTGCCTTGCGGACAGGCTTTTGAGCCAAAGGCTTTGGATGAGGACCCTAATCGTCCTCCTGTCTAGGTCTGGGCGCCATTGTAGTATCTCAGCCCACATACAACCATGACTTTTTCTTCAAACAAACTTCATCCTGCATCGGCCGTCGCGCAGATTATCAAGGGTCGCTTTATCTGCTGCATACAGCAGGGCGGATAAGCGAAAACATGCTACTGCTGGCGCCTCCCTTCTTTCTTTTCCACCTTTTTCTCTTACTCCCGTCCCGATCCCCGTTACTAACCTTCCTTCTATAATTCTCAGTTTAATTGACAGCAACCGAAGTGCCACTGGAGTAGAACCATCTGCGGCCATCATCCCACCGAACCTAGCGGACGCCTATCGGCAAAAGTCCCTTATAAGGCCAAGCTATCCCGTTTCCATCGCAACATTCAACGTTCGCACTATAAGACAAACACGTCAACAGGCTGCACTCGCACGCACCTTGGACACACTGGGTATTGATGTGTTGTGTCCGAAACTAGGATCAATGACTCTAACGGGGTTATTGAATTAACTGCACCCGGCTTATCCTCTCGTTATTGGTTACACGCATCCGGAGATGCTGATGCAGCACTCACCGGTCAAGCTGGTGTACTTATCATTCTAAGCTCCAACGCTGTGCCATCGTTGGTTGATTGGATTCCGGTGAACAGTCGTTTACGTGCAGCTCGTTTGACGATATCAGCTAAGGTTGATTCACGAGTTAGTACAAAACGCTGTTTGTTTGTGATTTACGCTTATGCTCCCACCAACTGCAGTTCTAATGCTGTCAAGGACACACTCTATCACGAAGTGAACGTGGTACTACGCAGTGCTACTAGTTCAGATATTACAGTACTTGAAGGGGATATGAACGCACAAGTACGGCGTCTGAGCTCTTCAGAAGCTCAGCTGGGTGGTAATTGTGGGCTTAACTCCGAACAGACTGACAACGGTGAGCGTCTGCTGCAACTGTGTGCGGAGCACCAGTTGTTTCTTAGTAGCACTGCTTTTAGACACAGTGGGCGCCGAAGTGCCACTTGGCGTCCTCCTGTAGCTGGCCAGCGATGGACCCAAATTGACTACATAGCCATAAGTTACAGATGGCGTGGTTCCACCCTGGATTGCCGCTCGTACTGGAGTACCTGTGTCGACTCTGATCATGCCTTGGTACGCTGTCGTTTCTCCATGAACTTTAACGGAAGGCGCACCAAGCGGCCTCTACGATTGGCAACGGAGAAATTGTCTCAGTCCTCAATCACGCAAGCCTACCAAGAAGCACTGCATACCGAACTTCCGGTATCATGTCCTAATGACATTGTGCTTCAGTGGAATAGGATCTCGGCCGCCATGCACGATGCAGGAGCATCTGCTTGTGGCACTATCCATCGTCACCGCACCAGTCACTGGATATCCGAGAGGTCGGTGAATCTGTTGGAATCTAGAAAAAACCTCCAGGCTGGTTTTGAGCACAATGTGACCAGACGGGCTATTATGCGTGAACTAAAGCAGAGCCTACGTGCTGACAAGGAAGCCTGGTGGACCAGTAGGGCCCAAGAAATGGAGGAGGTAGGAGCAGTAGGCAAATGCCGCAAGCTTTTCCAGCTAATGCGCACCAATGGTCCCAGAAAACCAAGCGTCAGTGAGACAATCAGAGACAGTGCGGGTGCGTTGATACACAATAAGGAGTGCCGTATGGCTCGTTGAGTGGAACAAGATCAGTTCAGCTGGCCCCCTACTCCCGGACCTCTTCCTACTCAGGTGATGCAAGACGAGCCATGGACGGTTAGTTTAGAGTCTCTGTCGAAGGCCGAGGTCCGAAGAGCGATCACAGCCCTCAATCGTTTTCGTGCCGCTGGCCCGGATTCCCTCCCACCTGCACTATTTAAGCATGGAGGTGAGGTCCTCTGCAAAGCACTGACATCCTTATTCGAATGTATCTGGAAGGAAGAGTGTCCCGGCTAACTGCAGCGAACCAATTATAGTGGCAATATACAAGAAGGGCAGTCGCACACTGTTCTAACCACAGGGGTATTAGCCTAACGCCAGTTGCGACAAAATTACTGGCCTCGATTCTCGTTCGTTGCCTCACTGCGGAAAGGGAATCTCGGATTAGGGAAAAGCAGGCTGGTTTCCGCCCAGGACGTGGCCGTATAGACCATATATTCACTTAGCAGTAGGTGCTAGAGCAGCGCCACGCATACCGCAGACCGACAATAGCTGTGTTCCTCGATTTCAAAAGTGCGTTCGATTCTGTTCGAAATACTTGCGCGGAAAGGTGTTCCCACGAAATATGTGAACATCCTTCGTGTTCTATACTCGGACACTACAGGCCGCGTCAGGGTCTACGGTGGCCTATCGGATTGCTTTCCGACCACAGGTGGCGTTGGTTAGGTTATTCCGATTTCCCCA